CGTTACGATTTTTCGTTATGGCCTTTGACGATCACTGATTATCAATTCATAATACCGGCAAAAAATCAGAGGAAAAAAAAAACAAATACTAAAAAGCCTAGGAAAGTATAAACATAAACATAAAGTAAATAGACATACAAGCGCAAAAAGGAAGATTTTTAATAGAATTAAGTTGTTTTTAACCGATTCAATTTCTTTTTTTTTTTCAAATTTGCATCTAATATAGTATCATATCGATTCATATCGATTTATATTATATCTAATATATAAAGTAAGTAAATAAATAAATAATATAGGCTTACAATTCTTTTGTCCAATAAATGTGCTTCCTTTCTAAGAATCATTTTAGGTACAGTACTTTGAACTTTATCCTTCTTGTAGGGTATTTTCTGAGTACAAATCAAATTAGCCAAGTTTTTGATTTGTACTCTGAGTAATATATACGGTGCTCTACGGTAGTAATTTCATTAGATCCAAAGTTTAACTTTATATAGTGTCTCGATTCCATATTTTAGGTAAGCTTTTTAAAATCAAATTTTAAATCAGTTTTGAGTTATAGGATTTGATTTGTGAAATATCTTGGCCTGGCCAAAGATTGGATCCGGTGTAAAATTTACATTCTATATCTAGCATGGATGAGAGTCATAAAGCCCGATTTTTAGCAAATATCTATATGAGTGCTACCAATAAGTAAAGTAAGTAAATATTAAAGTTGTAATATTATGTATTGAATCAAATATATGACCAGTGCCAAACAATGCATGGCATTAAAATTTCGTGAAATAGTTAATAACTCACTTATAGACTTGAATAGATCTCGAATAAAATAAATTTTATAATGAATCACTTGCAGACCTAAATAGATCTCTTGAAATAGAACCGGCTGACGCACTTGCATTAAAACATCGTGGTGCAACTTATGAAAAAAATATATATAATGAAGAATTAGATTATACTTATGGACTTTATTTACGCCTCGAAAGCATTACGACTATGATAAATCGGTTGCAGATTTAAAAAAAATCATTAAAGATTGAACTAAATAATGCGTTTGCATTAGGATATCGTGGAATATATTACCGTAAAATTATGAAGTACGAAAAATCACTTAATGATTTAAATAGTTCATTGAAAATTGATCTTGGTGATGCATTCACGTTACAACAACGTGGTATAACTTATTATTATGAAATTATACAATAAATCACTTGAAGACTTAAATAAGTCACTACAAATCGATCCAAATAATGCCGATACTTTAGGAAATCGTGGAAGGATGTATTACACGATGAGAAGAATTGAGTCAACTAATGTAATTGCGTTAGGAAATCGTGGTGCAATTTACAGAATAATGAAAAGTATGATTAATCACTTGTAGATTTAAATAATTCTTATGGATCTGATTCAATGTGATTCCATATGCCTAATTTTCCATTCCTTTTTACGGAAATCACAGTGATCAGATAAAATCACTTGAAGATTTAGATAAGTCGCTAGAAATTGAGCCAAACGATGCCTTTGAGTTAAGATATCGTGGAATAAATTACTGTAGGACTGCGAAATATGGGATGTCATTTGACTTAAATAGCTCGCTAGGAATTGGACCAAATGATGCACTCACATTACAACAACATGGTATAACTTATTATCGTATGAAATTATATGATAAATCTCTTGAGGACTTAAATAAATAATTAGAAATCGATCTGGATAACGCTATTTCTTTAGAAAATTGTGGAAGGACTTATTATATGATGGGAAATTACTCAAATATTTAAGCAAGTTACTAAGAGTTGAGCAAGAAAAGGCAAGTGTGTTAAGAATTCGTAGTGAAATTTACAAAATTATAGCAAAATATATTGAATCGCGCGCAAACTTAAATAAGTCTTTCGAAATAGAATCAGAGATTTAATTCATTAATATATCTTGGTGCTGCATGTTATAAAATTAAAAACTATAAGAATTCACGCGAGAATTTAGAAATGTTGTTGACTTTTGAACCAGAAAATTTATTAGCATTAGGATACCTTGGAGCAATTTATTATAAAGACGGAGATAATAAAAAATCATTTGAATACTTAAATAGATCGCTAGAAATTAAGCGAAAAATTCCCTAGTGTATTAAATCCCGATACACTAAATCCCGAAGTCTTAATATACGAATCTAGCATGATCCGTTACTACGAAGTTGAAATTAATTACTTAAATTGTATAAAAATCTAATTATAACCCTAATCATGACCAGTGTCGATTGAAAATTTTTTCGTAACAAATATTTCATAGAAATCTAATAAATGAAACAAATTATTCAACACAATCGCATTCAAAACGTTGTTCGTCCTGTTAAATAACAAAACAAATCAATGAATTTGGAAATAATAAGGTGAATAGGGGTAATTTGGGCAGTGTTAAAGATTTAATATTCCCAATGTTCCCGGGAACATAGGAGCACTAGATTTAAAATTATGTTCCTTTTAGTGTTCCAAGCAGCCGCTTAGCTAGCTGATAGTCTAATCAGCCGGCTAATAAAGGCTAATGATATTAATTACAAAATTCAAAGTTGTATATATAACTAAAATCTATATAATATAAAAAAAATCCCATTACCAAATCTGTTATCGTTATACGTCGAATTAAAAATTTTGCATTAGATCAAAATAATTATAATGCCACTAATAAACTACCCAACATAGAGTTTTACTCTAACCCTAATTATACTCAGTTTTGAAATTTTGATCTGATACAAATTTCGATTTAACGTATAACATATATAACATATATAAGCTTTGGTAACCAATCTTTGTTTCCAAGAATTTAATTTGTAATTTAAAATTCTATAGTATAAAAACAGTCGGAATATTTAAAGTAAACCCGAATCTAAAAAGCTTCTTATTTTAATTGAATGAAGTACTATATTTACTAGAATGAAGTACTATATTTACTAGATATAGACATCCTATGATTCAGTATAACATAAATTGGATCCGTATTATTTCACCGACAATCACTTTATAGATACCACATTTCACCAACAATTATTCATTTTACCGACAGTCTACTTCACCGAAGCTCATTTCACCGACAAGTGTTTTTTATAAATTACACTAACTTTAACTCTAATTCTAACAATATTGACCAGAATTACTTTGCCTGTAAAATGAGCTTCGGTAAAATAAACTGTCGGTGAAATGAACTTGTCGGTAAGTGATTGTCAGTGAAATGTGTGGTGTCTACGAAATGATTGTCGGTGAGTTGATCGGATCCCCATAAATTATTGGCTAAGCCGCTAAGCCATTAAAAATATAATGGCTTAGCCTAGCCGTAGAAATTTAATTGGCTTGGATCACTAGTTCCTTTTTAGGAACGAAGTGGTGACATAAAATAAAGGTCATAACTTAGGTTCCTATAGAGAGAGAAAGTGAGGAAAAAAAAAAGAGAGTATATTTATTATTTTTAATAATATAGGAACATTAAAAATTTTTGGAACATAAATCTTCTTCACTGAATACGTAGGGGTATTGTGCCGAATCGCACGGTTGCCAATTCATTACTAAAATATAGCGACATACTTTATATTTCAAAATATCCGAGTATTTTAGTGTTTAGAGATTCACCAACTTTAATAATCACGTTATAAAAAATCTTTATTATCAAGTTGTTTTAAGGCAATCATCTGAAAATTGTCTGGATGCCATAATCTACACGTTACAGAATTTGTAAATTATGCCTGCGGTTTAATGATGTTTACAAGAAAAAAAAACCGAATGTTTTTTTAAATACTGCGCTCAACTAAGCAAAAAAAAAAAAAAATTGATTTATTTGATTTATTCATCGTTCAATAAAAAACTTAAATTTTAAAAATGTATCAGAACAATTTATTTAAGAAATTGAAATAAAAAAAAAAAACTATCTATTGACAAAATCTACACATAAGCTTGTTATCCTCTTATTTATAAATTCAAGCGCTCTATTGCTCAATGTAATTTCGTTTGGGCCTATGTTAAAAAATAATAAATATTTTTCATAATTTATTTGTTTTAGGTTTTAATATTTTTAACATACTACCAAAAACAAAAAACGCCACTTAATTTACTAATTTTAACATATCTGTCATCTAAGCTGTAATCTGACAAAATTAAGAAAGTAAAATAAATTGTGCAAAAGATTTTTGACTTGGGCTCTATTTCATTCTTGATTTTCTTTCTATATTTGAACCACGTCTTACTTCCAGTAGCGTTCTTAAATCTCTTTGGTATTCACCATCAATAGCATTAAGTCTCTTCAGCACCTCCGTTCATTTCTTTGCCGAATTTTCGTGGCACATTCTATCTCCAATTAATATGTACTTTTCTTCTATACATACAGTATTTTTTTTTTGCCTAAATTTCCGCTACATATTTTTCCTGTAAAAGTCTTCTCAACACGTTCAATCTTCAATAATACTTTTTTATTCTATACATGTAATTTTTACCTGTGCTTAATGACCGATCTATAGGTTACGCACCTCACCTGAAAATCTATAACTGAGGTGCGTCAGTTATGATCTGAGGCAAGCGTTTGTCTGAGGTATAACATATATATTTTAGATTTAGAAATAATTTCTTAGCTATAATCTTCATTATGGTCGTGACGATTGGAGATTTTCAATTAATCTGTTCGGTAAGTATCCACAAAAAATGTTTGTAAATAGGAGACAGAAATAAAGCCTTTTACCATTAGCTAAATGTGCACTTTGATTTTATACCTAACTTACAGCAGTAGTAATTTTGGAATCTGAGAATTGTGATCTGAATCTCCGCACAAAAATACTCTATATGGAAAAATGTTGACACGTAAACATTACACCGCATATAAATGACCTACAATATAACAAGCTCGGTCTAAATTAAGCACACATTGGCGTACATGCGTACATACGGACACAACATTTTTACACCTGCTGCCTTGAAATCATTATCATAATTATTTCTAAAACTTTTCGAATAATTATCCTGATTATAATGGACCAAATATTTGCATTAGAATATTTTGATGCAATATTCAGATTTCTTTCGAATTATAAAGATTTGCACTCTTGTCTTTTGGTTAACAAACGTTGGGCCACTTGTGCCGTTCCAATTTTATGGGAAGTGCCCTTCAGAATTAAAGACAAAAAAAAACCATCTTCCAAAGTGATCCAAGTCTATCTTGCATTTATACCAGATAGTACTTTTCAAAAATTGAGATATAATAAAAGAATTGGGTTGATGATTAGTAAGCCCCTTTTTTTTAACTATCCATCATTTCTCAAAGAGCTTTCATATGATCAATTCCTTAATGCTGCTATAGCAAACAAATGCTGTAAAGATATTATAATAGAATTATTTAAAATGCTTACTAAGAATAGCGTGAGATTACGCAGATTTGATATCTATAACTATCTCAATTATTATTCCGAAGATTTAAATAATATAGGATCTTTGATTCTTCCTCATTTTTCTGAAAGCACTTCTATATTTAGTAGGTTGACTTATTTTAATTGTTGCTATCAATGGCCAAAACAAAAAACTCAACTTTTTAATGCAATAGCAAGGGGCTGTCATAATATTAAAAACCTTAAAGTCAGTATTTGTTATGAAGATGAAAAAATACCTTTAGCGAATCTTATCTGTTCTCAAAGAAATTTAAAAAAGTTCTCTTTGATAAACAGTAATAAATTTGCATCATTTCCAGTCCAGGCTCTTGTGAATCAAAAACACTCACTTAATAGCTTAACACTTGAAGACATGCATTGCAATCGTAGCTTAAACAAGGCAAAGTTGTTTAATTATGATATTTGTCGATTAAATGGCAATGCTATTGATGTACTGGCTCAGTGTACAAAAATCAACAAAATGAAGTTTAAACACTGTGAAGGACTCAATTCTTCTGCATTTCTTCCTCTTGCCATTGCTTTTCCGAACTTAACATCCTTAGAATACTTTTATGGTGATTATAACATCTATGATAGCGCAACACCTATTAGATTATTATCTGGTCTCATTATGACAAGTTGCAATACACTTAAAAGAATTATACTTGACTGGCATTCCCCTGACGACCTTGAAATTACTCAGCTTGTCGAAATTATCGCACAGCAAGTGATAAATCTCGAGTATTTAAAAATTCCACTCTATACATTAGAACAATTTACACTAATTCATCAAACCCATAATCCATTAAAGAAACTTGAAATTTATGCGAGTAGAAGAATAAATCCATATTGTGCTCTTTATATTTTTGCGAATGTTCCACTCAAAAGCCTTGAGCATTCAATTCAATTATGCTTTGATTATTATGATTATTCTAAACTAAAATTCAATCCACTAAATCAGATCTTTGAATCTATTTTATACAAAAGTACTCGGATTGTTGACTTTGTTTTGTATACGCAATTATTTCATCCGTTCTATAGAACGAATCTTTTAAGAAACTATCCAAAACTTAGAATCAATATCTTGAAAAGAAGTAGGGATTATAGGAATTATTCAAGGTTTGATTTTGAAACGTGCAATGATGAATTACTTAAAATTTTTGATAATTTATTAGAAATAAATTCAAATGATATGTGGGCATTAAAGCAACGTGGAGCAACTTATTTTAATATAAAAAAATATAAAGAATCGCTTGAAGATTTGAGCAAAGTTTTAGAAATTGAACCAAATGATGCTTATGCGTTAAGACTTCGTGGTGAAATTCATTATTTGGTGGGAAAATATGAAAATTCATTGATAGATTTAACCAAATCACTAGAAATTGAACCAAACAATGCATGGGCATTAAAAGCTCGTGGAATTACATATTCTATGATTAAAAAATATGAGGAATCACTCGAAGATCTAAATAAATCTTCAAAAATTGAACCAAATTATTCATTTGCATTGAAAAAACGAGATGAAATTTATTGTAAGATGAAAAGATATGACGAATCACCCACAAACTTAGATGAAATTCTTGAAATAGAACCAAATAATGCATTTGCTTTAAAAAATAGGGGTGCAATTTACAGGGTAATGAAAAAGTATGATGAATCACTTGCAGACTTAAATAAATCTCTAAAAATAGATCCTGATGATGACTTTGCGCTAAAAAATCGTGGAATAATCTATTGGATAATGAAAAAATATGATGAATCATTTGTAGACTTGAATAAATTTCTTGAGATAGAGCCAAATGATGCATTTGCATTAAAACATCGTGGCGCGATTTACAGAATAAAAAAGTCTTATAATGAATCACTTACAGACTTAAATAAATCTCTTGAAATAGAACCAGCCGACGCATTTGCATTAAAACATCGTGGTGCAACTTATCTTACGAAAAAAAATATAAAAGAATTAGATTATTCTTATGGATTTTATTTACGATCTCAAAATCATCGAAATAGCAATAAAAAATATAATGATCATGAAAAATCGCTTGCAGATTTGAATAAATCATTAGAAATTGAACCAAATGATGCATTTGCATTAAGATATCGTGGAATGAACTACCGTAAAATTGTGAAGTATGAATTATCACTTAATGATTTAAATGGTTCATTAAAAATTGAGCCTGATGATGCATTAACGTTACAGCAACGTGGTGTAACTTATTATTATATGAAATTATACGATAAATCACTTGAAGACTTAAATAAGTCGCTAGAAATCGATCCAAATAATGCTGATACTTTAGGAAATCGTGGAAGAACTTATTACATGAAGGAAGATTATGAAAAATCACTCGAAGATTCAAATAAATCACTAAAAATCGAGTCAACTAATGAAATTGCGTTAGGAAATCGTGGTGCAATTTACAGAATAATGAAAAAGTATGATGAATCACTTGCAGATTTAAACAAATCTCTTGAAATAGAACCTGATGATGCATTTGCATTAAAAAATCGTGGTGCTACTACCATGGAAAAAGATTTGTTTGAAGACACTGATGTTCCTTATAGATCTGATTCATTCTCCTCTATATTTAGTCATACTTTCAGTTACAGAGACTACAGAGAACGCGAAAATAAGCGTAATAAATATGATAAATCACTTGAAGATTTAAATAAATCGCTAGAAATTGAGCCAAATGATGCATTTGCGTTAAGATATCGTGGAATAAATTACTATAGGGCTGCGGAATATGAGATGTCACTTAAAGATTTAAATAGTTCACTAGGAATTGGACCAAATAATGCACATACATTACAACAACGTGGTATAACTTATTATCATATGAAATTATATGATAAATCACTTGAGGACTTAAATAATTCATTAGAAATCGATCCGGATAACGCCATTTCTTTAGGAAATCGTGGAAGAACTCATTTCGTGATGGGAAATTATGAAATATCACTTAAAGATTCAAATAAATCACTAAGAATTCAGCCAACTAATGCAATTGCGTTAAGAATTCGTGATGAAAATTACAAAATTATATTAAAATATATCGAAAATTCAAATAAGTCCTTCGAAATCGAACCAGATAATGAACTCGTATTATACAATTACTTTAAGAATTCACGTGAAAATTTAGAAATGTTTTTGTCTATTTACCCAGAAAATTCATTTGCATTAGATCACCTTGGAGCAATTTGCTGTAAAGACAGAGATTATAATAAATCACTTAAATACTTAAATAGATCGCTAGGAATTGAGCGAAAAAATGCATTCGCATTGCGACAGCGTGGGATAACTTATTTTCATATGAAAAAATATGATAAATCACTGGAAGATCTAGATGAATCTTTAATATTAGAGCATCAGTACGATGAGCTTAATTATACTAGAGTATCTGATTTTGGTTTAAATCCCGATGATACTAAATCCCGAAGCCGAAGGCGTCATATCCACGACCTAGAATTAATCACTTACTTGCCGAAAATTTAATGATACAATATATTAGTCATTTATGATGATGTCTGTTTATAATGTCACTTGATAACAAGTGCCATTTAAAAATTTTTAGTATCAATATTCGTGAAAATCTAATATTAAACTTCGTTTAGAAATTTTTTTATACTAAATATTTCATAAAATCCAATTATAAAAATTGTAAAAGGAGTACTTAAAAGTGTCTTGCAAACCTATTATTGTTGCACCACATGAAGCCATTATAACTGTTAATTGTTATTACTGCATCATACGAGCCATTATAACCATTAACATTAACAGTTTTAACAGTTAATAGTTAAGTATAATAGTCGAAACAATTATTTACTGTGCTACATAGAAGCTTTCGCACTTAGCGAACATAAGGCAATCAAAGCCTACCAATCTAAATTAATAAATGAAATTTGACCTACGTGTATTTATATTGAGATCGGAAATTCTCCAATAAGTTTAGTATACAATTTGGCCACAAAAATTTGGTCAATCTGCTTCCACCCTCCTATCATGATTCAACCTTGTATTTTCGTAACAACAGCTTATTTTCTTTCAAAATGTGCATTGAAATTGCTAGAGAATGTCTTGCCACATTGATTCTACTGTTATAGAATATTTGGTTGATTTTAAGTACATACCGATACGTCAATTTCGAGTTATCATTCACTATAATATAACCTGTAACAAAGCCACAGTGTTACAATCTATTCCATTTTTGTAGATAGATAAAATTGGAAGGCTTAGAATGGGTCTACAGCATACAGTACTGGGCAAATGTTATGATCTCTAACAGAGAACTTCACAGGAACTATTTAAAAAAAAACTCGAATTTAAAGCTTGTGGCATTTTTCAAAAGTACTGTACCGTTGTCAACTTGTGACACAAATTCACCAACAAAGAAATAATGCGTATGCGGGATTTAATAAAAAAATGTTATTCATTTTAGACTGTGAAATGTATTACAAGGAATACAGTACATATTAAGAATATTCTATTCTAATCTAGGGATGTTATCTTTGCTCCAACGGGTTTTTAAGCGCAGACTAAGAGGTTGGAACACTGTTTCGGTGCATTATATAAAACCGATTCTCAACCTCAGTTCATACAAATGTACTAATAGTTATGATTGTGAGCAATTCAATAAAACCCGCTACGTATCACTATTACTTTTATTAAAGTAATACATTAAAAATATATTAATTTTTTGTATTATAATGCTATTGCATCCATCGTTATTACTTATTTATCCAATTTATTAACCTTCATTACAGCCAATAATACCCACTCCATACCAGGCCTTTAAGCAGAGGCTTGCGGAGGCATTTTTAGCCAACCTATTACATATTGGGTTAATTGTATTTTTTGCTTTCAAAAACATTTCTTCGCTTGGTACACTTGTCGCATGTATGATCAAGTAGTCCCTTGCCATTATCGAAGCCCAGAAAAATGTATATTTGTGGGTCGTGTTTTTCTGAAATCCAAGGGATTACAATTTTCCTTAACGGCCGTAAGGTATTCTTCAAGAACGTTGAAGTAGTGTTCAACTTTTCATTACGATGTTTTCTAAAGTCTATCGAATATTGAAATTCAAATAAAAAAAAAAAATGTAAAAAATAAGAAGGAAATCATATTATATACATTTAAAAAAATTAAAAAGACTAATTGTCATCGTATCACACCACATTGGGGCGAATAATCAAACCCATATTATAAAATCCAATAGCACAGATTTGTGCATAGATCGGCAAAATCGTTAAATTCACTAGCGAAGACTGGTATCCAAAAATTGATTCATCTCACGTACAAACTGCATTTTTTGCATCAATCAATCGATATAATATAGCAAAAAGAAATTATAGTTTAAAGGTTTTAATTAATTTAATGGTTTTAAAGATTAAATGAATAAGAACATATATTTAAGCTAAGAATTTACCTCGTAAAAGAAAATTTTAAACTGTGACTTTTTTCTAATATATTAAACTAATCGTTTGCGTATAAATTGCTGAAGAAAAATAGTTGATACGCGAGATGAATCAATTTTTGGATACTGCCGATCTGTGCTATTGGATTTTACTACAATACTTACATACAGTTGTTTTGATTAATTAGTATATCGGAAGCCCCAACGCCACATTAAATTAACTTTTAATTAATAAAAAAAGTCAAGGAAAACTGATTTTTGTTCGTCATAACAACAGTAATTAAAAGTCTAAAGTTTATTGCAAATCAAACATTGCTTATCTAATCGATTTCAAACTCATTTAGAGCATGAGGAGTTTAATCAGGGATTCGGAAATTTTAGATATAAAAATTTCACAAAAATTTAAAATTTCAAGTATCACCTCAAATTTTCTAAAATTTTTAAATTCTAGGAAATTCAATCTAAAATTATCAATTTTAACTATATAGGTAAAATATTCGGAATTTCACAATTCTGGCCTGCATTAGCAGTAAACTACTACGTATAGTGTGGCCTGTGCGGTTGCACAAATATTTGTTTTGCTTATCCTAGTGATACGTATTTTATTTTTATACAAACTTAACTTATTTAACTTCTAAGACATACGTAATATATATAACCCCGTGATCTAGAGACATAAATTTTATGTGTCTTGGTGCGATTTGATTCCTAATTTTATATTATAATAATATTCTTCAAAACATTCGGCAAAATTTAAATACTGAATTATTAAGTATTTTAACAAAACAAAAGAAAGAACTTCTAAAATTTATTATTATTATTCAGATTGCAAATTCAATTATAAAATCAAGAATTATATTAACAATTATCGTCAGCGTTAAATAAAATAAATATATATATACGGTTTTTAAGTTTTGAAAAATAATTAAAATTTTTAAAATTATATAAATGCAGAAAATATAACTAAAAACAATAAACTTAATTAGCTTTTTTTATTGACTTTACTAAAAAAAAACTATGTTTTTCGATTTGTTTTTCTTTTTTTATGCATTTGTAATTCTTGCCCCGCATTTTCAAGCCGCTTTCATATGAATGCTCACTTGAACGTGAATTTAGAGTATTTGTATACTGATATAAATTTTCGTCATCGTCACTATAATTATTCTTAAAGGAGTTTTTTTGATTAATACCTGTACTAAGTAATAATATCTTTTATTCATAATATAAACAAAGCCTCCTCTACAATAAGTAACGTAACTATTTCCTCCTCCAGAATTAATAGACCTTATCTGCAAGAAGCTCCTTTTTATGGTCGATAGAAGAACTACCCTTACCAAATAACTATCAGATAGTTAATCCAGAATGTGCCTTTGCGCTAACGCTGAGGCAACCACATAAAGAAACCAGCATGCCCCGCATGTCTTTATGGTCTAAAATAACCACCTTGCCAGAGCTAAATGTTCAAGTAGTCAATCCAGAGTGTGTCTTTGCGCTAATGCTGAGGCAACCACACAAAAAGGGCTTAATTACTACTTCCAGTAAAAAATATAACTACCTGTTTTAATTATCGTCTGTATAATCTGTATAACGATGAATTTTGTATGTAAAAAAAAATTTTAATATAGACGAAAGATAAAATTTAATGTATACAAAAAATAAAGTTTAATGTAAACGAATGTAAACGAACGTGTAAACGAAAATAAATGTAAGTTCTGAAGTTATGAAAACAAAGATAAAATTTATGTACTGATGTAAACAATGTAAACAATAACGGATCGGGTAACCCTTACATCTGGGCCAAAGATCCAAATTTATAGATCGGGACCAATAACAAATCGGGTACCTTACATCAGGGCCAAAGATCACTCTTCTATGTTATTGTGTAACCTATGCCTCACAGTTACATTTTTTTTAGAACAGAAAAATTAAATCAAAATATATTGGTAACTGACTAACGAATTTTTTTAATTTGAATTCTATGAATCCATAGAATTTAAATAAAAAAATTTATCAAATTTTGTCTGGCAGTTGTGGAGATATCTTCACTCAAAGTTAGATAAAATCAAAACATCTATCTAAATTAAAGCTGTGCCAATTCTTTAAAAAAAAATTGAACGAAGATAATCTCCACAACCACTGAACCAAATTTGATAAAATTTTTTTTATTTGAATTCTATGAATCCATAGAATTTAAATAAATAAAAAAATTCACCGAATTTT